GGCGGCGGCACGGCTAGACAGTGGCAGCATAACGGCAACAGCATCAACTGTTGTCGTTTCAGACAAATGTCCGCATTTATCTGAAACGGCAACAACTTTGTCGTCGCCTGGGCCTTGACCCCCCCCCCCACACACAGTCCCACACATGCCCTACCACTGCCACCTTGTAAAGGGCCGAAACGGCCCTACGGGCCTCTTTTTTTTTTTTTTTTTTTTGGTTTCATTTTTTTTTTTTTCCGCACAACCCGCAACATCGGACACCTGAAAAAAAAATATGGGCGTGTAGGGCTTTTTCAGCCCTGCACGCCCATATTTTGTTCTTTTTTTTTTGCGCGCGAAAAATATGGGAAAAAAATTGTTGCACCAAACTCTGTTGGTCGACCATGGTCGAACCCGATCTGTTTGGCTGACGGTCGCGACCGCGGCCGATTTTTCGGCCCTGACGTGACCGGGCGTGCAACATAGCTCTGCAGCGCAACAAACCTTGTGATCGATATATGTTTTGATGAACACACCATAACAGTTACGACATTCCTTGGACCGAACAATCAATCAATCAACCAATCCATCGATCATTCAAACATATTTATCTCAGTTTTTTTTTCATCAAATCGCAATTGCGGATAACGGGAATCGAACCCAAATCCCCTGCTTGGAAGGCAGGCAATTTACCTTTAATCTATATCCGCTATTTACATATTGAATTGATTGACTCAGGCTCTTCTGGGTGAACGTAAAGTCTCCCGATCTTCACTCTCCCCGATATTTTGTAATATGTCAGTTTTCAAGACTGATACCTTCAACCACTCAGACATCCATCCAAAGCAAAGACGCCCCTTGTACCTTTTTTTCCACTCCATCAAACACATCGCCAGTGAAGATAAGATCCGGGCCGGGTCTTTTCCCATCTACTACAAATCAAATCGCATCTTACTTAGTAGACGGTTGCCGCCAAACGCAAAACTGTAGACTTTTGATGGGCAGCCATGTCGGCGTCCTCAAGCCTGTCCTCGATGTAGGCCCCCACGTACCACAATGGAATGTCCATCCTCAGAGCGAGTGTGTGGTAAACAACACTAGGCGATACTACCCTCGACCACTGCACGTTCTGCCAAACTGCTCTCGCCAGATCGGTCGAGTAATCAACGAAAACATACGACTTGGCGCGGGCGAAACCGTCGGATCTTGAAGACGACCTGAAGATTCACCCGTGGATGACGCGCATAGCGACGTTCTCCGTCCTTCTCGCCCGTCCAAGGGCTGCGTCCCGCTGCGCGGGATCTTGGATTCGCAAACGCTGAACATCGGGGGGTGGCATGATGATCGGGGGTGGCATGATGAGGCCACGCAGTGCGGTGGCGCCTGCATCATCATTGACGATTGCGCAGTAGTAGTCTGCGCAATCGTGCACAGCGTCCTCGATCAGGCGACCAGGTCCACTTCCCCAGAAATGCCAGAATGTCTTCCCGTCTGTCCACAACTTCGACGTCGCCTCCAACTCCTCCTCGTGCCTCGTTTTTTTCTTCCTCATGCGAAGAGACTCGTCGTCCTTGTCGTCCGGTCGCGGAGTGCCATCCCTCCTCTCATCTTTCCTCCCCGCCTCACCGGGCCCTCGTTCTTCTCGCCTTTCCCCCGCAGCGGTGCTCGGCCTGGCAACACCGCTTCCTACATGTGACAATGGGACGACTTCCCTCGACGACCCGCCGACCGTGTTCGTGTTCGACGGCTCCACGTGACGCGCTTGTGGTGCATAAACGGGTCCTTTGTCTGCACATTCAACAATGAAAACGATCGTCGTGATTGAAGCCACGCGCGTTTGTGGTGCCGACTCGCTGATGACGATCCCTTGAGAACGCATGCTTCCACTTCCACCACCATGACCAATTCCTGGCACACCAAGGCGGCTAGTGCTTGAAAATGCTCCCTGCTTACGCCGTCCCTCCCAAATCCAAGTGTCGGCATCCCTGTCGATGGGATCTCCACGGCTGAGACATCTCCCCCCCCTTGGCCCCCCATCGCACCCTCCGATCCGTCACCGCGCGACCTTTTCGACTTCGAGACGTGCCCCCTTCCGCTTTGCCCGCCCCGCCTTCGCCGGATCCACCGTCTCGCCTTTTTAACTGGAACTGTCCACGTGGCGCCATGCGCTAATGATCGATCTCGCTCGTCCCACAACTGAAGGCGAAGTGAGTCTACCACGTGCCCTGGATGATGGCGGACGAACAGATCGTGAAGCGTCCGCATACTATGCCACCGACAGACGCGTCCGTGAGGATAGCGCAGGTGTATAGCAATAGCGCGAACAGTGAACTCCTAGCACCGTGGAAGACAGTCGTCATGCGAAACAAGAAGTTGACACCTGCGAAGCGTAGCACATGCCCAACAGCAAACCTGCACTGACCCTTATACTGCTTGGACAAACCTTCCCCTGCCCCGGCGCGCTCCCGGCGTGACGACTTGAACTTCCTACTTCCAAAAAAACGAAAAAGAAGTATACGATTTTACCGGGCAGTTCTGTTTGTGACGATATATATATATATATCGACTACGTGAGCGATCCAACCCTCGACTATGCCATGAACCACGCTCTTTGAAGGAAGACATGAGGACTCAACGCTATCACTGCGGAATCAACAGAAAACAAGCGAGGGTTGCAACGTCAACGCATGCATCGACATGACGACCTACCGCAGAGCTGAGGCGGCATCAGGACCTGTCCCTGATGGCTTTCGTGATCTCCATCAACGCACTGCACATCATCCTGTTCGCCTCACCAGACGCCTCGTAGTGCCACTTTTGGGTGTCGATGTCACGCTCGAGTATGTCGCACTGCCGCTTGCTTGCCCCGTCCACAGTATTCGCCATCAATGCACCGTGCTTCTCCATGACTTCGGCGATGGTGTCGAACGTATGCTGGCGCATGTTCTTCCTCTTGCAAGTGCCGCCCGTACTGCCTGCACTGAACCCGGACTCCCACGCTGACCCTCCATCTTCATCGTTGCCATTACCCTCTCCCCCGACGACGGATTCTTCCGCAATGGCGGATGTTGCGTGTCCCCCAGCATCTGCACTTCTCCACGGGCGCTCGTGTCGGCAAGGTTGTCTGGGTAGATGGTTTTATTGCCTCGAGACATGTTGTCGATCTCAAGGTACACTCACTCATCCATTCAGAAGTTGAAGCCCTCTTCCGTTCTCAACGCAGGCGTTAAGTTAAAGAAGTTATTCCCCCTGGAGGCGTTCTGGTATCGTTGCACCTTCTTATACTGCTGGAAGAGGTTATCCCACTTCTTCCCGATGTCATCGGTCGTCCTCTTCACGCCCACCTCCACCAAACGCTTCTGCAGGTCTTGCAACTTCCATTCCCTATTGCGCATGTGGCCGTAGTTGTGCGGCATTCCATCGAAATGAGCTTGCTGATCCCGCTTCGCCTGAGCGAGCTTCAGCATCTCCTCAACACACGAAGTCGGATGTTTGCCACCCTTGTCGCCTGCAGGTGCCTTCGATATTCGGCCACCACGGGATCCCCGATTCTGTTAACGTCCGCATCCACCCCTCCCTCTACCACGTGCACCCAGGGGTCGAATCTCCAACTCTTTCGCATCGTTCGCTTCATCCTCGCAATGAAAATTTGAAGATTCGTCACCAGTCGCCCTCCGGGTGTCGTTCGCATTCGCATCGCTTACAACACGCATCGTCGATACCCCGTTCGTTATGTTCTCAGCGGTCGGTCCGCGCATCTGTTGGCGACAGGACTCCCACACGTGCCTGCCAATTTCTTTCAGGGGGGTAGTGGTCGTGTTCGCCGCCGGTGCAGCCACCTTCCGACATTGTGGGGGTGAAGGTGTTGCCAAGTGGGGGGGTAACACTGCCGTCACCTTGTCGCTAGATGTTCCCGTGGCTCGAGAGAAGGAGGGCGTCGGACGGCACCCATCTGCGCTGCCATCCACCAAACACGACCTTCCGCCACGCCCCGCCACTCCCTCCCCATGCAGAGACGTTTGTCTGACAGTCATGGCGACGACGTGGCTTGATGCACAATTGTTCCTAACCGGTGAAGCAGGCCCGCTTGACAAGCCGAAAATCCAAGTCAACAATCTCTGTGTCGCCTCCGTCGATACCCCTCCTCCAGCATTGCCGAGAACGAGTGGCGACTTCTCTCTGCCTCCCTTTGTCGGCAATGGGTGCCCATCCAGTCCTGCGTAGATCCACTCCCCGGTGGCAGAGTGTGGGACAGGTCCTCCCGCTACTCCTCTTCCAGATCCAGCGGTAACGACTGCTCGTGTGGTGGCAGATGACTGTACAACGTGGGGTCGTACACGGGTGCACGACGCGGCGCTACCGCCATTGCCACCGCAGTGGAGAAGTCGATCGCACGTCCGTGCAGTCCGCTGGAGGTTTCCCGCCTTTCCATCGTCACCTTCCTCGCCATGCATAGATTTCGTCTGCTCCCCGGACCTCGCACGGCGACACACACTCACAACAAGAGCACAAGAAGAAGGAGAAGAGTGGCCAGCAGCAGGAGCGGGACCCGCCGAAGCGCATGTGCCATAAATCGCAGCAGGCGAGGAGTGCATCGACCAAAGCTTGCTCCCGTGCGTCTGTCAATGCCCGACAATGCACGCTGCCAAGGAGAACTGGAATCGGCTAGCACTGCTCACACGTTGGCGGTAAAAAAATCTGAAAAGTCGACTGTTGAACACCACGCCCAACGACGAGCACAAGGAGAAGCCCGCGACATGAACTGCCTCGGAGATGAAGAACCACCCCCACGCCTTTACGTGCCAACAGTAACGACACAACGCCGTTGGAGGCTCGTCCCTTACTGGAGGCCGACGGTGTCCGGCCGTCTGGACCACGGACGACCTGTGCACCACGAAAAACTCCAAATTTTGGTGTCGATGCATGCTCCAAGACGATCCGTCAATTGCGGCTCCTTGAGCCCAAGGGACCTCGTGAGGACCCCTTGAATCCAAGGACGTTTTGGTTGGCGATTCTGAGGAACCCAAGGAAATATATCGGTAGCGTTTTCACATTTGTCCAAGGAATTTGGTGATTTAGGACGCGGTGTAACAACGCGGATTTCGTAAAAATCGGATTTCCAAGGAGGGTCTAACGAGACCCTTAGTATTTCCTGTATTACACTGCCATGGAGGCAATCAACTTAGGCTGTTGTGTGATTTTTTTGTTGTTAATCTATTCTCTCTGTAGGTACACCTACAGCTTGCCGTCAGTTCTATCGATGCAGTCATTTCGTCACGTCAGTCGTACGACTGGACAATCCATCAACTACAATGTTCAGGGACGTTCGACACGATTTCCAGCACGTGCTGCTCCTCACCAATAAATGGAGCCTCCCCAGGAGTGTTCGTGGTGCCTGCTCCTATCAGCAACCCTAGCACCACCTCGGGCAGTTCCAAAAAAAAAAAAAAAAAAAAAAAAAAAAAAGATAGAGGGAGTTATGGATGTCATATTTTTTGCAATGGCGAGGGCATAAACAGGAGGAATGATTATTGAAGCCCTAGCAAATCCCCAACAAATGAATGAACCTTTTGCCACTTCCACAACTACCTGCACTAAGATACGAGATTTGTTTTCAAGGATCTCTTCCTATCAGAAAATGGTAATATCCCAGAGGAACAACGTAAATTTGATATAACCGAGCTCTTGAGTCCAATGACTAAGTCACTATCAGACGAGCAAAGAGAGCAAATAGAAAAGTCACTCATTAAGGAAGAAATATGGAGAGCCCTCCCACTCATGCTCATGGAGGAAGAAAAGACTCCAGACATTGATGGTTCATCCAAGGAGTTCTGAGAGACACTGTGGGACTTTCTCTCTTAGGACCTCATAGACTTTTACCATGCAGTTTGGATAACTGGCCAGATGGGGGAGATAGTGGGACAAGGAGTTCTGACATTACTATATAATAAGAAAGGAGAAAAATCTAACATCAAGAATTACCGCATCTAACATGAAGAATTACCGCCCTATCACTCTCCTAAGTGTAGTATATAAGTTAGTAGCAAAAGCACTAGCTAATAGACTGAATCAAGTAATGGAATATATAATCCATCCTTGGCAAACTGGCTTTATTCAGGATAATATATTACTTATCAATGATTTAGTAAAACTCTCTCGTCAATCTAAGATAAATGGGGCTTTCACTTTCATGGATTTTGAAAAAGCCTTTTTATTTTATTATTAGATAAAATTTCACATATACTAACAGATAGGAGTGATGATGCAAACATACACTCCTACCTGTCGTACAGGGGCTGCAGTCTACTTCTGGGGAGCTACACCTGCTGGAAAGCGGGTCCAGCTTCCGGTGGTGAACAAGTTCAGATAGGACAAATAATACATGTTTGTTGGAAATCGGGCCCAGCATCTCATAAGAGTTTGCAGTTACCACTACTGAGTAGGTCGCGCGGCTCTGTAACCTAGCAGCGGGAGTTGAGGCCTGGTAGAGACTAGGTATCGAGAATATGATGGCTGAGGGAAGCTGAGGTGGGGCTTTTAAATCACACTAAGCTAGTTTGTTCTCTGGACGAAAGTTGAGGTTCTCATAGTTCCTTTGAATTGTAGCCAGAAAAGAGACTTCTCATTTTTCTTCTGAACTTTAGCCTATGTCATGAGGCCCTTTGTTGAATAGGCTAGTAATTGCTCATGACCCTTAGAAAAGGTGTAATTGGTATTCTCAGCCGAAGCCGGGTAATGGCCCTGGGTTCTCATTTTGTTCTGTATATGTTGTCAAATATGGTTTCAAATGGGATGGTGGGCCCAACACGTGTTGCTTCCCACGAATAGATTGGGGCATCATTAAAACTTAAGAAAAAAAAAAA